AATTGAAATTAAAGAATTCAACATGTTGAATTCTTTAATTTCAACCTGTGATCGTACCATTATTCCCAAGCATTATCGGCCTCTATTTCTTCATACTCTTCACCAATATTTTCATTCTCTTCAGCATCAATATTATCTAAAACCAACTCCTTATCATTTTCTTCATTCATGTTTGTTGAATTCTCATCCAAAATTTCATAATCAAACACCAAATCGTTTTCTGACTCATCTATTTTTACAGAGATACCACAACATTTGAATGCTCTTCTAATTAAAGAAGGGTCAACTTCATTCCATGATTCCCCTATCCATTGTGCTAAAGTGGCATATGATAGTTTTTGAATGCGTCCTGAGGGTGTAAATTGGTGTTGCTCATTGATCATCCATTTATTATAACGGAAACATACCTAGCAGATTTAATAGTTAAAAAAAAAAAATCTGGTATAGGCTTTATAAAAAAATTTTTTTAGCATACTGTATCTAGAATTTTTCAAATTCGAGTTCGTTTCTAACTGTACCTTTTCCTTGAAGCTCTTATTAATTGCAACATCGAGGAGTTGTAGCTTACTGGTCAATCCACTTGGAATAACTGCAAGATGAGTATTGTTTTGTTTGAATCGACTTTTAACAGAGTCTGTTAGATGACCTTTAAATGAATCTAAAACGAGAAGAGATTGTGGACACCCCAATTCACTACGCTCACACTAAATGTTATCAATCCAATATTGCATCTCATTCTTGTTATACCATCCTTTTTCATTTATTCTAACAATAACATCTGGGGGAAAGTTTTCACGAGAAATATGCTTTAATTTAAAAATACACATCACAGGAAGTTTTCTTCCATCTGCAAGACATCCAAGAATCACAGTAAAAGACATTCTTTCATGTCCAGTTGTCCGAATGCTTACTGTTTTAGTTCTATGTTTTTCAAGAGTAACTGGATAAGGTAGATCAAAAGACAGGGGTGTTTCATCCATATTCCCAATATATTGGGTATCATACTCATATTGATGTCATTTGAACAAAACAAAGCTTAGAAATTTGCTTTGTTTCTCAATAAGATTCTCAGGAAGGTGCTGCGCAACTGTTGTGCATCAGTGATTCAACAGATTATTACAATGCAAAAATCCACCTAACCAACCACTAGAACACTTAAAATTGTCAATATTAGGATATGCATCCTTTATATCACTAGTTTTAACCAACGTTTTAGCCCTTCTAATGACCATGTTTCATGTTACAGCCATCTGCTTTTTGCGAAGTACTTCAATCCATTGAATGAGCTTTTCTTCCAAGAGCGGATACTGGGCTGGTCTACTATGATTGAGTGTTAAAAGATAGGGTG